CCCCAGAACAGCTCTTTTTCTCAATTTGAAAATCCAACTGCTGAAAATCTTGAACAAGTGTTATTAGATATTAAAGTATGTGTACTATAAACAAATTTAAAAATGATTAACATTTACAATTATTATTAATTTGTGTTTAAACTGTTTAAAATAATATTATTATTATTATGTAGGATGTAAATTATGATCTTGATTTTCTTGAGAAAAATGATAATAATTATTCAACAATAATGGATGAAATTGTGAATATGCAAATTGAAAACTCAGGATTTATCCAGATTGATACACTGGATATAGAAAATAATATTGTAATGGAGAATTATTCCTACACCAATGGTAAAATTAATATTAATATTGTTATACTTTTATTATGATTATCATGATTTTTTATTATTTATATTATTTGTATTAGGTATCACCTAGTTTTAAAATCTATTATATTATTTATGAATTAAAAATAACATTATAGATTACTAATGGAAATCCTTAATACTGAATTTTTTTATTAAAATAATCAATAAATACAAAATACCTTTTAGTGAGTAAATTAATATTATATATTATTATATCTAAGCACAACATATTGAATATTCAGATGAGTTAGAATTAATGCATAATATGCAATATTATTAATAAAAAAAAGTAATATACCTAAATTTAATAAAATATAATTGGCTAAGATTGTTTTTTATTTATTTAAAGCAGGCAATGTAGAAACTGGACAATATGTAGAAAATGAGGCAATTACTTCTGTTCTAAACTATGAGGAAGAATTTGTTTGTGTTGAGGCTGAATCAATTAATACTATTTCCATTTCAAATAATGTGGAAGAATCTGGAGGTCAATATGAAACAGAGCAAACAATAAGTGACTGCCAACCAATGGATATTGAGGAAACAAAAAAATCAACAAGAAAGCGCACTAGAAATTCACATTTGTGGAAACGAAACTTGAAAGCAGCGGCAAAAAATAAAGGTGAACAATATATTAATGCATCTGGGATCATTGTAAGTCCAAAAGTATTAAAACCTCCATGTACAAATTGTCGTTTTGATTGCAATTCAAAATTAAATTTAGAGCAAAGAGAAAATATTAAAAAAGAGTTTTGGGCAATGGGTGATAAGAATAGGCAAAGAGAATTTATAGTCAGGCATACTAAAGTAGTTACTCCGTTATATTCAATGAAGACACCTAATTCCAAAAGGATAAAAAACAATTTGGCCTACTCTTTAAATATTAATAATAGTACTATACAAGAAAGAGTATGTAAAAAAATGTTTGAGGCTACACTTGTTATTAGTGATAAAATTATCAGAAACAGTATTGGTAGTTTAACCAGTGAAGGGGTACTTAAAACTTTAAGCCAAGGAAAACATAATAATCAAAAAAAAATTTCAGATGAATTAAAGCTTGATGTATTAAAACACATTGATTCTTTTCCAAGAATCCCTTCACACTACTTAAGAGCACAAACTGAAAGAGAGTACATTGATGGTAGTTTATCAGTGAGTACTATGTACAAATTGTATGTCATAAATCAAAACCAAAATGGTAAAGAATGTGTACTCCAACATGTTTACTATGATTTATTTAACCATCAGCGCAACATTGGATTTTTTCAACCAAAAAAAGATCAATGTACAATATGTGTGGGTTGGATAAATAAGACCACAGAAGACAAAGAGGCTAGTCGTGAAGAATATGATGCACACATCTTGGCTAAAGAACAATGTAGAGAAGAAAAATCAAAAGATTCAGCTAAAGGTAGAGAAGGAATCATTAAAGTCTGTTGTTATGATCTACAAGCGGTATTACAAACTCCATGTGGGGACGTTAACATGTTTTACTATAAAAGAAAATTAGGTGTATACAATTTTACTATTTATGAGATCTCTTCAAGGGATGGTTATTGTTTTGTTTGGAATGAGGAACAAGCTAATAGAGGTGCCATTGAAATGGCCTCTTGTTTGTGGAAATACTTGAATGAAGTGAACTCAGTAGACATTCCAATAATATTTTATTCAGACAACTGTGCAGGTCAAAATAAAAACAAATTTATAGCTACGCTTTACATGTATGCTACAATGAAGTTAAATATTCCATCAATTACACACAAATTTTTATTATGTGGTCATTCCCAAAACGAAGGAGATGCAATGCATGCTTGTATCGAAAAAGAAAAGAAAAGATGTCTAAAAAGTGGACCAATTTATGTGCCTGAACAATGGATCCCTATAATAAGTTTAGCACGAAAAGGAGAGCCATATAAGGTTAATCAGATGGGTACTGAAGACATGCTTGACTTCAAAAAATTATGTTCTGACATTGGAAATAATTTTACAGTGAATAGTGAAAATGAAAAAGTTATGTGGGGTAAAATAAAAGTGTTAGAAGCTCGAAAGGATTCTCCATATAAACTGTTTTATAAAAATGAATTTTCTGAAAAGGAATTCAAAACAATTGCAGTAAGAAAAGTTGCAACTCGAGGACGAAGACCCAGAGCTCTTGGTGATGACCTTAATCTACAACTAGCCTATTCTAAGCCACCTGGAATAACTTCACTAAAAAAAAAAGATTTAATTAGCTTATGCGATGCAAATTGTATCCCAAACTACTATAAACCATTTTACAATAATTTAAATACTAACAATTGCCAAACTATTGAGGAAGACGATGAATAAGACTTATAATTGATTTAGCATTTAAAATTATTATGATGTTTGATTTTATTTTTATAGTTGTTATGTTTTTATGTTATTATAATAACTTTTATTAAAATGTTAATTTTAATTTTTAATTAATTTTAGTGTAATAAAAGTCCAATTGAATCATGTAACTTGACTGTCAAAGTATTATTTATTTTTAAATATTTTCAAAAAGTTAAATTTGTTTTAGGTATTAAAAACTGAGTTAATACCTTTTAAATAAATAAGACATTTTTATTTATTATGAAATTATTCAATAATAGAAATTCTTAACTTGATATTATTATTTTAAGGAATACAATAATAACAATAATTGTTAATAAATAATTATTATTTATTAATAATATTAATATAAAATAATGGTTATTTAATAAAATTATGAATGCAATAAGGCCATATATCTCAAAACATTTATTTTTAATACAAGTAAATACTATTTCTGTTAAGTTTAAGTTCTTAAAAAGGACATCATCAAACTCAGAAGAAAATATTGAATACAATTTGTTATACTTATATCTGGCTGAAGATAACTCACTAATTTTTATAAGCTATTGAATCTTAAAAACGCTCTCCTGAACAATTTACCTTTTTAGATATACGGCCCTCTTGTACTGACAGTACGATTTGATACTTTACTATTTTAATCTTATTTTCTAATATAATGTGAATGTACTTATATTATAGACCAAATGAAAAATCAATTTTTCTACAATACTTATAGGAAAAGTTGTGGTGCTTGATCCCCAAGCCACATGCCATAAGTAGGCATCTGTGTCACTATAGTCAAGAACTCAAGATGTCGAGTACTTTGGTCTCAATAGTCCATAATATATTTTAGTATACACTTTTCGGGTAGACGATGATCAATTATATTGTTATGACGTTTTTCGAGTTGGCAAAATTCATTGCTGTCAAAACTCGAGTGATATGACGTTTCTTATCTTCTGCAGTGGGTGATGTTTATACCGCCTAATATAAACGGTTGTCCATAACGTTGTTTTTATTTATCGTTAAAGTTAATCACTACAGAATTAATATGGTACCGTTCTAATGTTTAATTTATAATACTACTGCACGTGATCGGTGAAAAAACACTAAATATATGTGCCATGGAACAACGCGTAAATAACTTAACCTTTAGGTGAATATACTATATATATGTATACAATAAGTGTTTATTACTTATATGTTTAAAAGAAAATTCAATCAAACCATATAGCTAAGGCATTCATTTTCAGAAACACAATTTATTACGTGCTGTTAGTCTCAAGAGTATCGTAGAAAAAGGTGCTTATTTTTACACACGTCATCACTAATTTTCTCGATGATATAGAAATGTACACCTATCGCATTTCGATAAAAATAAACTTTTGTAAGCACACTCGACAATTTAATTAAATTAAAATGTTATCTATCTTCATTGTTATCGTATATTGTGTAATGCCTAGCGGTAGCGTGTGCTGGTATCCACGTAGATATATACTTGTAGGTAAGAGTGAAACAGCTTATATCAATAATTATATAGATCATTATAACAATTGAAATGCGAAAATATTAAAACCAGACCTCATTACAAAATTATATGATCCTATTAACGATAGAGACTTTACAGTTTTTAATTGTATTTTATTATAATTTTTTTTTTTTTTTTTATTAGGGTTGAGGCTTCGACAATAAAGGTCATTAGCCTGTTTTAATTATTATATTTATTTTATTTTACTGTATAATATACAGTCGATCAGTCGGGTGATAATAATATATTCAACGATTTGGTATTAATCTAGATCAGTTTTGTTGATATAAAATACAAAATATATATATTGTATGCTGTTTTGACTTCAAATACTTGTGTACAATATTTTGTTTTATCCGTCAATATGTAACTGTATATCATAAAAACTACTAAATATTATGCAGTATAAAATATGTACAGCTTACACCATGATCATACGTCATGAATCATGATACGCCCAACAGTTTCCGATCATCGATCACATCGATTAATATAATATAGCTTACTAAATATTATAAAATTGGTATACTATTATACTTACGTTCGACAAAAATACACATGAGTATTATTTTATATTATATAGAACGATCGTGTGTACAGAATCGTATTAAAACATGTATTTCTGTTCTCGTTGTCTCAAACTCCCGTTAAGACTACGACACTGTTATACTCTTCGATTAGTATCTACGATTATATATAGTACCTAAATATACCATTTATAGATCAAACCTATACTCACCTCGAATTTCGTTCTCTTTTACCTGTTGTACAGCCGCGGCCAAATGATGTATGATACTGACTCGGAGTGCGGCAACGCCGCACCGCTGACGCTGCATTATGGTAACCACCATGTGTACCTGATGGCGGAAATCCAGCAGGCCGGAGAAGAGCACTCGGACATGGAGCTGATGTGTGAGCAGGGCGCCACCATCCGTGCCCACTCGCTGGTGCTGGCTTCCGTCAGCCCACTTGTCCGGCGGCTGCTCAAGGAGGACAACGTGTGCATGTACCACAACCTGGTGCTCCAGTTCCCGGAGATCAAGGAGTCGCACATGAAGACGGTGCTGGACTTTATTTACACCGGACAGGCCAGCGTGTTGGTGAGTGTCATAATCAAATGAAATACTATAGCTATTGTAAATAATAACAATTATTAATAATATTTACGGCTACATCAGGTGGGCGGGTGACTGCAATTTATAATCATAGGTTTTGCGTGAGTTGCGCTCCATCAGTGAATTTAACGCCTTTTCGTGTATTGTTCGCTCTTATTTTTGACGCTAATTTTAGAAGGGATTTAGTTTGGTCAGCAGTTGTCTTACGTTGCTGGCTACTAATGCATCTATATTATTAAACACGTTTATGGAATTCTGTTTTCCATATTTTAGTGATCGAGGAATATTCTGAATTTAGTCCATACTAGAATGACTGACAAAAAATGTGTTATTTGCTTGTAACATATAAGAGTTGTAATTGTATTATTTCGTCAAAACTGTTGTACACGTAGACATTGAAATGGTCTATTCTCGTAATAGTAGTTATATTGATTATTACAAAAACACATATTATTATTCTACCGTTTCATATATTCCTATATCAATAATATAAATTTTTAATTAAAAAAATGTGGGTAAGTGGTTACCACTATGCTGTACATTAGGTGTCGTGTGGATCACTGTAATAGATGCGTTAAATTTTAATTCAGGGAATATTATATCGTTGTATACGAAAAACAATTCTGAACAAAGACCGTCTGTCAGCCTACATTACTAATTAAACTGTATGATATTACTGTGATTAGAATAATTTATTTTACTAATACAGTTAGCTGAATTAATTTATGCCGAAAATATAGCATTTAAAAATGCACTGGGCATATAAAATATAACAATAAGCTTTAAAAGTTTTAAGTACCAACAAATGATATTTTTAAATTACAACCACATAATTAAAATCGTTATTCTTAGTTTAAATATCTAATTTCAACCTAATTTGAACTTCTTTACAAAAAAGGGGGCTTATAAATTATTTATACCTCGGGATCTAAAAATATGGAATAACGTTATATATAAATATATGCATAATATCAAATATATATAACAGCGGCACAAGTACCTATATAAATTACATTGTCATCCAATTCTGATTCGAACTGAAATGAACCTGACCTGAAGTAACACGTAATTTTGTTCGTCATAGTAATTTAATTGTATTCATGTGTGTGTGTGTGTGTGTTTGGCGTCTTTGCAGGAAAACGAATTCGACGAGGTGGTCAGCCTGTTGAACTTGTTGGAGATTCGGTCGGACACTTGGCAACGGGCCATGTACGAATCGACGTCGCCTTCGTCGCCTCCACCACCTGGACAACCGCCGTCAGCTGCGTCATCGGACGTATCTGTAAGGACGGATCCGGAGAACCTATCGCCAGCGTCCCGTTGTGATGTGCACCCCAAAAAGCGGCGGAGACGGTCGTCCGTGCCCGTAAACCTGTCCATCGACACGAAAAACGAAGAGGACACGTCTATCTCCCAATCCAACTGGCGGGTATCCAAGGTGAGTCTTGGACACGTCCAATACCTGCTTACCCATATATTATTATATCAAAAATATTGCCTGGATTTAAATTCCGTAAAAATCATTAAAAACTGCTCAAGGGGACGCTACCGTGCATTAGTTGTTGTCTTCGTCTTTCATACATACAACACAGTAAAATTTTCGATCACTAGTTTCAATATTGTGTTGTTAGTTTTGATATTACAGTGAATATCACACCTATAATTGAATTTTATATATCTGTGCTTAACCGTCGGATTTTATTCGATATTTTAATTTTCAAGCGAGATTAGAGAATTTTTAATTTGTGATATTTCACGTACCCATAACCCTCAAACCACTGAACAATGATAATATTGATCAATATTACCGAGAGTAAAATGTGGACAGATAAAATAAACGAACGTTATAACTTATAAGTATTAAATATTGGAAAATAATTTTTTTTATAGACATTTAAAGTTTAGATGAGTAGTGCATTTCACGGTACACCCTTGCCACTTAATTCCCATCATTAATACACTATACAAGTAAAATATTATATTTTAAATAATCAATATACTTCAACCTTTTTTCAGAGAACTATTTTGGTTTAGATTGTAAAATAAAAATAAGTTATTATTTTTAAAAAAAATGTACTTTATATAAAAAAAATTATAAAATCAAGATTTTTTTCAAAAACGTATTTAATATTTATTACACGCCGACATATGTTACGGAACGACGCAACTTGCATTCGAACAATTATTGTGATATGATGATCACTCTATAACTTAACTGTATAATATTATATTGTTTGTCATATGTGTAGTTCGAGGAGAGCCATCGGAAATTGAGGCGGCGAAGCAGTTCACCGTTCGACGACTACGCCCACCACCATGAACGTGACTACCACCACAACGGTTTCCAACCGTTCCCGAAACGTGAACCGCACTGGGTCGAAACCGAATACCGAAGTTCACAGCTTCAATACAGCTGCGAGGTGAACTTACCGTACATGGACCCTGCGGAACCAAACTTAGATCCCGAGATCGAAGAGACGAACGACTCGGACAGTAAGGACGCGAGGCTGAACCCAGCCGACTACGTGGTACGCATAATAATATTATATTATATTAGAATATATTTTATGAGGAGGATTCTACTAATTCCCACATACTTGTTATTCCTTCATGCTGTTTGTGGATAAGTTGCATCCCAAAAAAAGTTTAGACTAGTTGAGTCGAACTCGAGCATACGTCTTTAAAGTGACCTTTTTAGTTTACACTCCTGTCCTCGTATCTAAATTCATAATAAATTCACAAAGTTATTTATCTATATTGAAACGATAAAATAAATTTGTTTATTTTATTACTTATTCGATAACAATGACATCAAATCATTAAATCATTCGGAAACATGCGTCCTAAACTCCCAGTCGCACATAATTTGGAAAGTAAAATATGTTCTAACCAAAATGCGTTATTTGTGACGCAAATAACGCGTCATTCGTCTCCATTTTAAACTATGCGATACCCAACGAATTGCAACAAGCAACGACAACGATATATAATACTATACATGTATACCAGTGTTGGGTAGTAACGTAACGAAAGTAACGCGTTACTGTAACGCCGTTACTTTGTTTGTAACGCGTTACGTAATTTAATTACAATTATTTTCAAATAACGAAAATGTAATGAAAATTACTTTTGATGAGTAATTTACATAGTATAACGCGTTACAGTTTTAAATTATTTAGTAAATATTGCGAATTTCAAAAAAAAAAAAACTTAAAAATATAATGTCTAATGCGGGTATTATTTATTATACAAGTGGTTAATTATTATACGTTCCTAATGTTCTTATTAACTATTGTCTATTATTAAGCATAAACTATACGTCTGTACATGCACTAAAAATAAATATTGATGGATAACCAATGATAAATCGAATTATTTACATTGCAGTGTTATAAATAATTATTATTGCTGTTTGGCATTTTACAAGAAACGGTGAAAATAATAAACTTATCTAATATCTTTATTAGTAATGAGTAATGACCGAATATTCATATGTACAATTTATTACTACTATTTCAGATTCTGAGTGAAACGATGAATGTATTGATTTTACAATGATGTGTGTTTTTTTTTTTATTTTTTTTTTTTTGTGTCTGTGTACACGATAAGTAGTCGAAATAATGCTTCGATTTTCAACTTCAGTATCTTGTTCGATTGGAAAGTGAATATCGTTGGTGCATTGGGGAGGTCAAAATTTTAAATTTCTCAGTAGTTTTCAAAAGCGCCGACAAAAACAAAATAAAAATTAAGGAAAAACGGGAATTTTTACGCAAAATCAGTTTTCCAAAAAATCAATTTTGGTTTTTGGTGTAACTTTAAAACAAATGACCGTAGATACATGAAATTTTCAGTGGTTGTTTATATTTGCATTTACTATACACGATAACATTTTCAAAATATTTTGATTTATATTGAACTGTTTAGGGACATTTTCAGTTTCCAATTTTATTAGTTTTTTTTTTATGAATATCAATAAAAATTTATTTGTTGTGTAAAAATACTTGAAAATTTAATACAAGGCTCCTACTATATTGTTTCAAAGACAGATGAAAAATATTAAAAATCGTTAGTCACAGTTTTTTTTTTTAAGCATTTAAAGTTCAAAAAATGACAAAAAATGGAAAAATCACGAAAATTTGCAAATTATTTCGAGTTAGAAATTCATAAAAATTTTTCTTTTTAAATCTAAGATATGAAAATGTAATACAAGATTCCTTATGAGATTTCCTACATTTATCAAAATAAAAAATTCTATAAGAAAGTCAAATTAAATTTTTATGAGCGTTTGAAATTCAAATTTTTACAACATTGGATATTCACTCGATTTCTCATGTGGCGATTTCCTTATTTTGTTGTAATTCAAAAACGAATTACTGTAGATACATGAAAATTTCACTGAATGTTTATATTAGCATTTCCTATACACCATACGATTTTGAAAATATTTTGACTCTTTTTGAGCTGTTTACGGACATTTTCATTTTTCAATTTTTTTAGTTTTTTTTTCTATGAATATCAATAAAGTTTTATCTGTTGGGCCAAAAAGTGTAAAAATTTAATACAAGGCTCCTGATATATTGTTACAATATTAATTGAAAAATATTAAAAATACATAGGCACAGTTTTTTTTATAAGCATTTAAAGATCGCATTTTGACAAAATTTATCAAAATCTCGAAAATTATCAATCATCGTAATTAATAAATTATAAAATGTTCAGTTTTTATAGCTAAGGATTGAAATTTTAAAAAAAAGATTCTCATAAATAGTTCATACTGTAGCCAAAAAATCTAAAAAATATATGAGCACAGTTATTTTTTACAGACATTTTAAGTTCAAATTTGGGACGAAATTACATAATCAAAAACCTAGCATACCTATTTTAGTTATTTTGTTGTGAGTGTATAGTACTATTCGTGGGTACTTGAAACTTCTAAAGTACACTATATAATATATCTATGATAGTATCAGGGTTTGTTATTGATGTATAACGTGTTATAATAGTACCTAATGGATATTGTGATATGAGTAATTTGGAATTTATTATAGGTCAATTTTTTTTTAATACCATAGATATGTATATAATATGTCTTAAACCTAGACTTACATACCGTCTTCGCTCAGAATCGTTTTTCTTATACAATGATATTGTATCATTGGATTCAAATTTAATACCATCCATTATATAGTGACCCACTTGTAACCTACTGTATAGCAGAGCGACATCCACTTACCCACCTTTTTAATAGTTATAACTTAAAAGTTATAAGTAATTAATATTGTTAGCCGTTAGGTATGTATTTATGTTATTAACTGTAGTTACATCTTTTTCAAATTACGAAATTCTTTTTCGTATATCATATCTTCTGTAGGAAGTGTATTTCTAGTTCCTTTGCTTTTTAAATGATAATAGCTAAGCAATTAAAAAAAAAATTATAAAAAAAAAAAAATGTAACGAGATAGTAACGTAGTTACTTTTCTATTTGAAAAGTAAAGTAATTTCATTACAATTTTATTTGAGTAACGAGTAAAGTAACTTTATTACATTTCTCTCTAAGTAACGAGTAAAGTAACTTTATTACTTTTTAAAAGTAATTTACCCAACACTGATGTATACTTATATCAGTTATATGTATGTTCGTATACGACCAAACAGGAAGTCGATTCTTCGTGCTCTGTGACGGTGGTTTCGACATTTCTGTTCCACGAAGTCTCTCGTGGTTGCCGATTATATGGGATAGCATAATAGGAAGTACGTCATTACTCATTAGGGTGGTCTTTATATCGATGTATTGAATGCATTTTTCTTATATCATCGCTGTGCATTCGAAAATTGACCAGGGATGCAAAATAATGTATTCATTATGTAAGTACTGCAGCATTATTATAAGGCGAACGTTAGAACTTCGAAGTGCAACATCGTTTGGCTTATTGTGTGGGAACTCGAAACGCTTTTGAAAATTTGAAATGTTCGCGAATATTGTCCTACCTCAAATTTGGCACGTTTTTATAATCAACTGTAATGCTGGGCGCTGGCCCAGGTTTCTGCAAGTGTTCCGTAATTGATCTATAGGACTTATTAGTAACTATATATCACTAAAGTCTGTGTAAATACACGTTTCTTCACATGGAAACCCCTGATTTCATAACAACCACTAATTAACATTACTTAAATTAATGTTGTAACTTTATCACGTTGGTGCCATTCAATTCCCGACTCGTGTCAACTCTATTTTTACCCTAACAGATAAAAATATATTATGACCAGTCTCAAATTCTGAATTGTAAAAATTATCCATGCTGCTTCCAAAAATATTGCTTAAACAATTCAAAACACCTGAGGCGGAACATTATTACGACATATTTGATTGAACTTTTGGAAACTTAAATTCGTCGATCTTAACGGGATGATTTTATCCTATTTCGAAAAGTTGAATGAGAAGATAATGAATTCTTGAAAGTGCATTACATTTTATTAGGTATATTTTCCTACTATTGTATCCACCACTGTTCGAGACATCTAATAAATGATTGCCACCCACCAGTCGTTCCCATTTCCAATCAACTAAATCTGTATAAAGGTCTGATTGGTCCCATGTAGTTCCCGTTCGCACCCATATTTCTGCAATTCCTACAATTCTGTAGTAAAAGGGAGGGCGATATATATGGGCATATGGCGTAATAACATGTATTGTATATATGTATGACGTATTACAGTAGCTTTAAAATTTTACGAAATGTGCACGCCATATATGATATATATATTGTTGGTTAATATTAAAATATTTTAATACGATTTACTACAATTTCACGGTACCTTTTGTTTGGAAAAAGCGAATCAAACTATTGGACTTATGTGAATAATATTATATTATCTCGTAATATAATATTATTGGCTTCTTGAGTATCTACTGTCTAGTAATTATTGTAATTATTTAAGTGTACTATGGTTCGTGAACAAATATAGTATATAAAACAAAAATATTAAACACAATGAGAGTATTATAATATTATAGTAATATACTCCGTTTTAAAGAATAATTTGTATCCGCATCTCGATCAAAATCATTATAATAATGTTGCAACTTAATTTCTTTCACAATTCGATAGTATTGTATGCACACAAGTTATGTGTATTTATGGGAAACTTACATGGTAAAATAAATATTAACAAATCGATTGTGACTTAACTAAAGTATAATTCCATAGGAATATCATGGATTATCAATAAACTAAATCTGTAAAACAAACTGAAAAATCTCCAAAAATATGTTAAGCTTGACTTTATTGTATCTTAAAAAAAATGTTAAGGGGATCGGTGGCGGACAGTTTTTAAGGAGTTTGAATTAGGCAATTTTCAAACTGAACTTACTAGCACTTACTGCACTTACTAACTGCATTACTAGGTTGATCAGTATGATGGAATAAAAATTGGTGTGTCTTAGCTGAAATAACTGTTCGCCACCGATCCCTTTAATTGAAATACATTTTATAAATTGTTGTTTTTAAACATACTGTATACAATTTTTATCCTTTACTATAATATAAACAAGATTTTCTTTTAAAATCAGTTAATCATCTTTTAGAACATTTTAGTTTTGGTATGCACTAAATTGGTATGCATTAAAAAATTAAATATAAACCAAATATTTATAAAATAAAAAAAAATTCAAATAATATAAATATAAAATAAGAAATTTGGTGGTGCATCAAGGATTTTCTTGTGAAGTGTCATCCATACAACAAGGATACAATGTAATTTTATTACTAAAATACTACAAAATAATAAATAATCCTAAATTAAATTTTAATTTTATGTCTTACTCTCAGAATGAAATTATGTGTATCGTATTAATGCTAATATCTGTAATGTTATATGCATAACAGAGTCCAGCAAAAACATACAATAACGAGATACGGAAAACGATTATAATAATATATATTATACTACAATAGGGTTTCTTGTTCCGGTACATATATAGCGTCCTCCTCTTATACTCCACTGCCCACTCACGTCTGTTACAGATTTAGCCACTAATATCGTCGTTTTCACGACATTTGGGTTAGGTTATTAATGTTTTTAATAGTATAATACAATACCTATTATGTCGTTAAAAAAAATAAATATTCTAAATTTTAAAAAATAAAATTATAACTTATTGATCATTAGTTACATAATAATACATTATTATTTATTACCTATATGTATTTCAACATTATTTTTTATTAAAAATAAATAAGGTATTCGTGAAATGTGAAGGAAAACTGGTTGGACACGTTAAGCGATTAAGTAAAAAATACATGGGTAATAAAATAAAACATAAATTATTTTTGTAAAATATAAAATATACATAATATGCATAAAGATATAAACAAATTAAGAAATATGGGTTGTTTTCTAAAAATACCTAACACGCAAAAATAGGCATTTTACATGTTATTTGTATCTAAACTCGTCATTGTAGAGAATTCTTAGTTCCTAATTCCTAGTTTGGTGGTCTGCTATAAATCGGTAGTACATGTATAGAAATTAATATGCAACTTCTACACCTGAGCAGCCACCCTAGTTATAACGAACGCGAGTCTTAATGCCACAGTAGCATATAAGTTTCAGAGCGAGATCGATTCGTTTCGGTTGGTTGTTCCGGGATGAAATACAATCACTCACTTGCAAAGTATATATAGGCATATCCATACCTTTATGAAGGATGGGTATTACAACTTCAAGGGTAGATAATAATATCTTACCTATGACCGGTGACAGATCTAGGAATTAGAAGGACCCCCTCACCACTTCAAATTAGATCCTCGTACAGGACTAGACACAAAACAGTATCTGCGGTTAGAGACTAAATAGTACTGCACATTTTTATAAATTAACTTATATAAATCTTTACCTAATACTTATATATTTAAATGACGTTTTTCTGCACTAAACCAACTCACCATGAAAGAAATATATATTTTTTCTTGTCAAAGATATTTTTTGATCACGACCGTTCTGTGCAGGTGACTCCGAGGAAACGAAAGAAACAGCCCGGGTTTCAGAACTCTCCAGCCCAGAATCCACCGTTCGTGCCCATGTACTTCCACGAGATGGCGTTCAGGCACCAGAAGATCACGCAGTCGCTCAGCTCGTTCGTGCACCACCCATTCGGGTCCACGGCCCAACAACCGCTGACCCAGCCAAGGACCACTGACGATGGAGGCCGGGACACGCCACCGCCCAGGACACCCATCTACATGGGTCGGTCCAGATCTCAGGACTCCGGCGTGTACAGACCACCACCGCCACCGCCCCCACTGCACCCACCACCTCCACCACCGCCGGATAACGACTGCAGTCCGCCGCCTCCGTCAGGACAACCAACGCAGTCTTCATCTTTCGGTGGTTTCCCTGAGAACGGGTCACCCTGGAAACCATCGTCCGGTACGTATATCGATATGCCAATAGTATTTGGTACCAATACTACCATTATTAAGATATATGTATATAGATAACAGAGGACCTGATAGAATTACACCTACCAACGTTTTTCTTGATCGAATTATGAGAAACTGATGTAGTTAACACTGCATGGTAACCGTATAATATAATGGTTACAATTTTATTGATAATTCGACCCTGCAGTCGCCGTCGCCATTTAGAGTTTGCAGATCCTATTGCTTGTATTTAGTATATCGGCATATCCATTCCTTTATTATCTATGGGTTATTACGACTTTAAGAACAAAAAGAACCCCCTTCCGCTTTCAAGTTAGATCCCCGTGGGGTAGATCTAAAATATAATTTACATTTATCGAATAAATTTATTTAAATTTTTCTTTACATTAGAAATTATAGAAACGATGAGAGAGGTATATTTAATTTCCCCACTTCATTCTATATTTTTTCGTCGATGTATTCATTCTATTAAGTTCGTATTCGTCGTATTTATAATACATGTGTAGATAAATATATTTTTTAAATACACCAAATCCACATGAATCCGTACAGGCATCTATGGTGCTCATTGCGTTAATTTGGTTATCAACAGACGTAATATGAGTCTTATAATAGTATCGGGTTATCGTGTATGTTTATTTCATCGACAAATAGTAATCGATCAAAAAACGTTCTCGTATATAGTACTAATGAGAGCGAAACATTACATCATGTTATAATATATAGTGTGCTTGTTAATGGCACGTTTAACCAACAATGTCGTTTACGCATATATATGAAGGAATAATGTATATTTTAGTCTCTTACCAAGTGGTGTTTGGAATTCAAAAACTTTGGCGCTCACCGAGAGGTTTCGCCAGGGCGTAATTAAAACGGGAGTCGGCACGAAGAAAGTTTTCAAACGTTTGTGTTATTCCGTGTATAAAGCCCTCCCCATCCCTGTCTATGATTACACAACTTTAGGACAATATCATATAATAATAATAGTAATACAACCCCATAAACGCGAGCGTAGAGTGCACGGTCCGATATTATATAATATGATGTAAACAAGTATTTTATACAAGTTCAATAGGGTGTAATTATAATGATATTTCAATACGGATAGAGATAATAGCGTGTTATTGGTTTGGTTTTTATAGTTATTTTTTCTGATATAGAAGAAATCATTTGGTTGGAGATAGTGGGATGAGTCAATAAGTCCTACAGGATACAGGATACGACCAAACATATTCATAATGACCAGTAAAGTGAAGTCCCTACACTCTATTTAGGTCGTTCAAAGACCAAATTGTAACAATAATATAATTATGGTGTATCAAAATCGTGGGCAAAAACGATAGCTACTACTCTCTAGCAGCTGCAGAACTTTGAAAACAAATCAACTTTTCGACCGTAATAACATGCCCGTCGTCTTGGACTATACCAAAGACATTTCGACCTTTCATTCGGTTGCATTACTTTTTTACTGTAAGGAAGTAAAAATTAGGTATTCGGTTTGGTGTATACAACAGTAGAAGTCGAATGTAATTCATCATCGAGAATAGATATTGTAATGTATGTGTTCAATTTTAATTCAATGATAAATCGTTGTATACGATGAAAAATAATTCTAAGCGAAGTTGATATAACTTTTTTAGCAATTATTTTAAAAATAACATAAACATTTTAACAATTAATTTTCATGTTTTTCTTTTTTTTGTCTTAGATTATTTAAATTTTGAGAATTTTGCAGTTATGACCTTCCAATAGTATCCATCTAGATCCAATTTTCTACCGGTAACCCCTATCATGGAAGTTAGACGATCAGAGCATTGTAAAATTAATTTATTCATCACTCCAATCGCAATATAAAATCAATTTTTAAAGTAAACAATTGATTTAGTTGTACAATTAATGTACTACACATAAAAAATCAATATACGATCATCATTGTAAAGTAATACAAAGTAGTTTTGATATAAATATTATATTATAACACGTTGAGTATATGATATTTCTGATTATCATGTGACAAGACAAACACTAGACCACAAGAAAACCTAACCTCACCTAATCGGATATCAAACCCCTTAAAAGCTGGTGTGTGACATACTCTCAATGATCAGTTGTGACGATCTACGCACATCACACTCTAGATCACCGAGATTGAATTTCTTTGAAAACAGGGATATCTAATTTTCAATTTTCTATATATTTTACGATGAGTCGTTAAAATAAAAATCTTTACCTACTTACTAATTATTTCTAATACATCTCTCGTCTTAACTCCATATGTGCGCATTTTGCTTACTGCTGCAAGACTTATAGATATCCAGCCAGATTTGTTTAGCCTTATGACGCAGGTGTTGCGTGTCTGGGTACAAGTAGAGAATTTTATTATCAATTCGCTCTACGGACAATTGCGTGGAGAGTGATAATTAAACTTTGTGATCGTTTGTAACACGTTCCGCGTTGTTGTTCCAGTTTTTGTCGTGGCCTGTCTATACCATGTTGATGTAATATAATACATGATATAATTTGATTACTATCGAATTGATAACAGTAATTTACAATCATATTTTGAGTCTAGTCACACATACTATCATGGCTCACCTCGCTCGATAACAATAATATTATTATTGTACACGCATTAAGAGAGTGCTACACGCCCGTGTTTTCTCGCATAACATAGCAAATTGTACGCTCCGAAGATCACGTTTAGCTCTGTTAGTTTAAAAACTAGAGTGAATTGACCTCTTATTAAATGTAGAGATAAGATTATTATCTAGTGAACCTCATAGGGTCTTTTTAGATTTTAATTTTAAAGCAAGTTATGAGTATTTTAAAATTGTAAATTGTTTGTGCATTTTAAAATACTTATAATTTGTTTTAAAATTAAAATCTAAAAAAAAACCTATAAAGTTCACTAGATATAAATCTTACCTTTAAATTTTATAAGTTGTCAATACACTCTCATTTTAAAACTAACAGAGCTAAACGTGATCTGCAATTTGTTATGTAATGCGTTTGTAAACTCTCAAATGTGGAGTCTGTGCAATAATCATAGTAAACACATATGATAACATTGATAACTATAATATTGTGCTGTCTGATAAAAACATTTACAATAATAAAATGGTATAACAGTATATTGTTATTATTATTATTATTATTCATAGATGCCCAAAATATTAACATCAAAAGTGACCATCACTTACACATTTTAACGTATTGATAATATTATAATAATTATTACAAACAGATTATAATTTATAATATTGTTTAAGTATTGCTCAACGATAATGCAAAAAAATTACTGAAACATCACTTTATAATGTTGTATAATATATTAATATATGACACTTTTAAATCAGGATTTTTCAGTTTAAAAAAAAAAAGATTTGACTAGTATTACAGTATTATATTTCGGCGTATTGAGTACACAATATCCGTTTAAATTGCTACACTAATTTTCCAAGTAGAAATATTTAAAATATTTGGAATACTGCATATCTCTGGAAGGGCAATATTATTTTTTATTACAATTACTTTTTTATATGACAATAATATGTATTTTTAGTTTCGTAATTAAATTCAGAATCCCTTTATTGAAAAATTCCGATGTTAGTAAATATCAAATGAGCATAATAGGAAACAATAATAATAAGCAATTCAATTTTATGTATGGATAAGAGAATAGTAAAACTGTAAAAAGGGGAAGTACACCGCAAAAGTTTAGAAGGTGACAAGGTGACATATTATAGCCATAAATTGAATAGATCGCCACTTTTTGTACAGCAACAAATTCTTAAAGACTTCCGACAATGCCAGAGTGGATGATGTTGAAATATTTTTCGGAAAATTTTGAGTTGTTTATCGTGCTAAATTTTCTTCGCTTCTTATCAATATTATAATTTGACGTACCTAATAACAATTAATATACTAACTTGTGCTGGTTTTTGTTTTTGTCTCCACAGACGTGAAACCGATAACGCTGCAGTCGTGCACCGCGTCGTCCGAATCGGCGGCGGAAGTGCAGCACCACCACCAGCCACACCAGCACAGCTCGCCGGCATCTGCGGCCGGACCGGCGTCCGCGGCGTCGTCGTCCGACACGGAAGACAAGTCGTCGGGCTGTGTGGGCGGCGCGGGCCGCGAGTACAAGTGCACGTACTGTGGCAAGCAGTTCGGCATGAGCTGGAACCTGAAAACGCACCTTCGCGTGCACACGGGCGAGAAGCCGTTCGCGTGCCGCCTGTGCGTGGCCATGTTCAAGCAGAAGGCTCACCTGCTCAAGCATCTGTGCTCGGTGCACAGGAACGTAATATCGCCCGGCACCAGCGCCGCCGACCAGGAGACGGCGGCCGCGTTCAACTGCTGCTTCTGTCAGATGACGTTCGACACGCTCCAGCAGCTGGTCCGCCACTTTTCCGGGCCGCACAACAACCTGCTGCTCACCAAGAACCTGAATGCCTGACGCGCTGACCACCAACCACCACCCTAACTTTTTTCTCTCCGGGTGGCTATGTCCTGTCTCGCCGATTTTTCTAATATTAATGATATATTACTATGTAATACAGTTTTCTGTGGATAAGACGTGTACCTCTGTTATACAGCATTTTTTTTATCATTATTATTATTATTATTATTATTATTATTATGTACAAAAAAAACTGTTTTTCGTAATTTTTACCAGCTGTTATCGTATTATTATTATTATTATTATCATTATTATCATTGTTACTGTTCTCGTCGTTGTTATTGTTAGACTTCAGAGCGTACAAATATTCATCCGGAAAGCTATTTTCAGCCGGTCATGATCTGTTTTGTACTTTTGGCGTGTGACGCTATACCATCGCCACTCACCCACGCCATCATTGGCATCATTCGTTTAGAGGCGAGTTTATACATTCCAACGTGTCTCGCAAACCTATTATAAAATGTAATATCTTAATTCAGTGTAATATGTCATACTCCCTTCGTCAGAGGAGTCGTGTTAAAAAAACTTCAAAAAATTCATGACATCGTCCAAAAGTGTTCATCATATTATAATTTATTGCGAACGTTTTCTGATTGTATAATTATTATTGTATATACTTCCTACGTGTCACTAATATTTATACAGAGTTAAATTTCGAGCTCCGGATCACGTATATTCGTCGAAGGTACTTCGCATTCCAGTCGCAATGAAGTTCGAAAAAGATCAACAACAATGACAACAACGACGATGACAACGATTTTGTTATGCTGATGTGTGAAATTCGCGTGACTAAATACTAAATGTATAGATACTTAATTCATAGGGAAAATTAAGATCTCTAGAATGAATAATATGAGCGGTGTATATACCTACATTTAAGTTAAATTAGAATAATTATATGAAAAACTACGTCCTAAATCGATCGTTACCTTTATGTTTATAAAACAATAATTTTTTAATAATAGTGTAAAATTTTAACAAAATTAAAATAATTTTTAATATTAAATGCCCTGTATGCGTGCAAAGGCTTGTTTTGCAAAGATTTGACGATTTTACGCGTTCAAACTGTTGTCGAATCTCAGCGATACACTCTGTGCAAAGTGTTCTCGAACCGTTCATTTGACTTTGTTCGGTCCACGATCACTCCAACGATAGCAACGTCATTCACGTGATATCGACAAAATATGTTCACAACGCACTTCCAAGCGGGCTTTCGAACTTTACCGTGAGTGGGATCATATTTTATAAGTCTTATACACGATCTCGGTGCAGGTGTCGTCTGTGCCAAATCGATATAGATACTTATTTAATTTTAGGCGCTTGGCATAATGAATGCCAAACAAAACTTGTACATAGTAACGTATAATGTTATGTATCGTAAATATACATAAAATATTTTGTATATTATAATATTATGTTTTTACGAACGAAAAATATGTATATAATTTCTAGTTACGGTAATAATAGTGAATAGTAATGATAATATTATCATGTGTTGTAATGTACATGTTACACAATATATAAATTAAAACGCGTATTAATATTATAATATAGTGACGCGTGATCGAAACTAGTCATAATTTATTCGCTAAGATGTGTACGAAATGTAAAAACAATAAAATATTGTGTGTAAATATGTACTACCTAAATACAACACCAACCGTGTCTGTAAATATAATATACAATGAATAAACGGTTTACTAAAACTTTTACTTTACTGATGTTGTTTTCAATTCACTACAACCGTAGATTATATAGATATTATAACGAAGACGGGCCATAATCTCGACGACTTGGCAGATCCAAATACGCTATGGTATAATATTATAATGCCGACATGTCTCTGCAGAAGTTCGATGTAGACAATTTTCAACAGCACGATGAGCAATATTATTTCGAAACGGTTTCAGAGACATTCGCAGGTGCCGAAAGATCGATTTGACGTCGACGTCAGCATTAGTCAGTACCACTTTCGATCTATAGTCTACAATATTATAACACACTGATCTATTAATTCGGGATTTAAGTTTCCGACGACGTCTATTTGAAAATTATCATCAAATAACAGAAATGATTATGCATAATAATGTGGCCGTTGTTCCATCGTACAATATAATATAATATAATATGATAAAGCAAGCAATATTGTTGAGTTATTATTGTTCTAATATTATAATTTATTCAAATGCCACCGCTGCCGGTTTTCCTCTGATCCTGACCTCGTCAACGCCTTTGTGTCGTTAGTAAAACTCGTAAAAAACAGATGTAAATACGGCGCGTATTGTTCGTCGCAATAATAAGCATAACGCTATGTAAAATTTGGAATGTTGTGAGTACAAAGAATAAGCGTTAAGTCGTTATTTTGATAACGATAATATTATTATGACAATGACTGCGAATACGTCATAATATAATGAGTTGACGGACGCTGATTGTACGAGGTTGTCTCCTGTCACTATAAATTATAATATTATAATACGTGCACTACAAACTATAGTAATAGGGTACATACTACCTACGGACATTTAGAAACAGATTGCGCACTGCAGTATTATGCTATGTCTATAGTCTTTGATAGACAAAATTGCCAATAACCATGTTTGTTAATAAATCTCGATATCGGCGCTGATGTTTTTCAATAGTTATTACAATATTTTGATCGAGTCGAATGAATTTGCAACTAATAGTGTAATCAATATAGTCCACACAAAATGTTAGCTCTGCGCGAATACAATTGTCACTACCACAATAAATTATTCACAATACCTGCTGTTATTAAAACATAGATGACAAAAGTAATCAAATATTAAACGTGACCAACGAATAATACTGGACTTTTGTCTTTTCAGTTGTTAAATAAATAATAAGAGTATGATATTATATATCATACTTCTCCTCCGTATTGCTTTAAATTTTTTTTTTCACAGCATTCATAAAATAGTCATAAGCTGTCAATATTCTAAATAATTGTAAAACATTCACCCTCTCCGGGACCACCCGTTTATTATAATGCATTGAGTGAATAAATTTATAATACATACATATTATACAATGGTACAATACGCGCTACATGATATTTATGCTGCACACGTTGCCAAAAGTGTTCAATGGTTTGAGTGTGAACTTCCAATATTGTAGCTATATGATAGAGTAATTCATCGTGTTACAAATAATAAAGCCATGTACAGATTTAGTGTGGAATATGTATCTCTACTGAACGGCGGTTTCCATCCAAATTTCGTGATAGAATATCTCTATACAAAATTATATATTTACTTACTACAATTATTTGAGAAAAACATAACGTTCATTAACAGTTAATTAATAATATTGTATATTATATGGAATGGAGTACTCTATTATATGTCCTAGCAAACTAAAAAATATGCTCCAAATTATGTGCATAATATGCACCAAAAATCTAAAAAATCCCTACAAATGTAAGTTACACTAAAAATTATCTTATTTTTTTGAGAAAAAAACTTTTTTTCACATGATACTTTGCATGACTGTTACCCACATTTTATTCCAGTTGATGGTCGTAATTCAATGTGGTAAATCACATCAACAGTTTTATCGATTACCTATAGATATAACAAATATTAGTAAAAACTAATTCATAAAAAATATAGAATATATAAATACAACATTTTGGTTAAAATATATAAAAACGATTATTGTCAAAATCAAAATACATAATGTTTGGTAACAAAACTGAAATGTGCATTGAATAGAAGAAATATGACCTTAAATTTGTAATATCTGCACTCAAATTTAAAAATGTGAAAAGAAACAAAATTAAAATAAAAATGTTCGTATTTCAATTCACAACACCGTGAAACGTATGTTGTGCTTACTTAGCATTTAATATGATCAGCCATAAAAAAAATATACAATTGCATACAAATTCGCATAATGAATCATACCTTTTCCAACACATTTCAAACAATATGTACACATTTGTAATGAATACAAAGTAAAACATGAAGGTGAGTTGGAACAGAAAATATACATTAAAAGTCAAATATGTAATTCACTAAAATTATGCGTGTAGTTGGTGGCATAATTACCGGTACCATAGTACTTGTATTTACTGATCTTTAATTTAATATATATTATAATTAATCTTTCACCGTAAATAAAGCAAGTCCATATTAAATGTATTATGTCCATGAAAATTTAAATACAAATACGCTTCGTGAATCATGAGTAAATAGAGTATTTACTTCAACGATATATTATGGTGTAGAGTCGTATATTATAATATTACGTAATATAAATATTATAATAATATTAAACAGTTATAAATTATAATTTATAACTAATTACGTATACTAATCAAGGTGCGACTGGATTGTACTAATAGTGACATTTTGTATGATTATATTTTTTGAGTTCTATCAGTGACCATAATGATGTCCACTCATAGGTAAATATAATAATACACACAATACATAATATAACTTTAAAGCTATAGTCGTCGTGGTGCGTCGACTGTTGAATACATGGTGGAAACTCCCAGGGTCGCAAATGACAAACAACCGAAAATCGATGTTTTCCACTTATTATAATATGGAACGACCACTCCAGAAGCACACGTACTATTTCGAGTATGTACAAACAATATTGCATATATTGTACATTGACATAATATTATTATTCTCAACTTTATAAATATTTATCACTATTATACTATGGTATGTGGCCTAACTTTTCACCATAATTTTTTTTCTTGTGTTGAATTCTATTGTTGACTATACAATTAATATAATTAGAAAAACCATGTGGGTCGAATGATTACCACTCGAATACCCAAAAATTAAATTCGTTATTAATTTAAAAAAAATATGAATAGAATCCAGTGTAATCTATACGTATAAATTATTAGCTACTATTAATTATTATAAATTATTAAAACTATCTAATATTTAAGTTAACTTTAATTATATAATACCCCAATGAAATAAATAAATGCTTGAGATTATGCGAGGAATTTT